TATATTCCATTTAATGATTGTATATTATACATCTTTAATTAATGGGGCACCTGAGGGTTGGGACGTGTTGACTCATGAATACACGTTAGTCTGAATATTTTGATAGGTTGCAAAATATAGATTGTATGTAGTGACAATAATAGCAAAAACCGAGTTCAGAGTTCGGGGTAATTCGATTTTGCTATGAAGTTAATAGTTAACTCAATAGTAGAGTCAACTTTCTATATACCACAAGAAAATTTATTATATTCTTTGATTACTTAAATACCATTAAAATAAATTTATTAATATAGTAGGTATATTTGTTTTATATAGAAAGTTGAATCCACCATAGAGCCATGTACTGTTAGCTTCATCCGCAACACAACCTCATTTTTATCTGTTTAAACGCCCGATTCCCCCCTGTTAATCGGCGTTAGGGGGGCACTGTGGCGAACGCTACTTTTTTTCTTTCTTTCATTTTTTTTTTTTTTTGCTTTAAAATCATTCTTTATTTAATCTTTTTTCTTTTTGTTTTCATATATAACTTATTTTTTTATCTATATCACAATTCTCAATGTGTATTAAATCGAGAATTTCAAAATTATATTCGTAGAAGTTCAGAAATACGAGATAACACAACGCATCATCAATTTCGTGTCGATTTAGTTGAGCATATTTGAACTCATTTTTGCCAACAACTAAAACAAATATTATTTGTAATTGTGTTATTTTTTTCTTGTGTAATCTTAATTTAAGTTATTTTGGTCTTGTAGTGTTCTTTCATTTTCATGCATTTAAAATTTATTATTATAATTTAAAAATATTAAATTTTATTTTTATAATTTAAAAATATAAATTTTATCTTTATTGAGAATAAAATATTAAAATTTATATTGAATGTGTAGGAATGTGTGTGTGTGTTAAAATGGAGAAAGATTTAGTGGAAAGATGACGTGGAGATAATGTGGAGTTGAGAGAGTGTTACTTTTTTATTAATGAATGATATATGGTACCCAATCGCGCTTGGATGAGATGACTTGGGTCTCTTCCAGCTTAACCAGTGGTCTCGTGTTCGAACCTTGGGAATGCAGTAGTGTTAAAACTCTTGAGGGAGAGCTTTGCCGCCCTTGTGGTCCTACCCGGCTCGATTCCGAATTAGTCGATTTCCCTGTGGATCCGAAAACCGGAAGGTCCCTGTAAAAAAAAAAATAAAAAATGAATGATATATGGTTTGTGGATGCCCTAAGCTAAACCACACTAAACCCTCCCACTCAATGACACGTCGCACCGCTACACTTACGCCAACTGGTAACGTTTATCCTCTTCAAATCCCTGGATTAAACGCCATTTGAACTCTGCAAATTATTTGAAATTCGCATTATCCCATACAATTCGGAGATTTTTTGCATTTTTTTCCGATCAATCGGATCGCCGGCGTCGCCCACAATCACGGGCGGCTTTCCAAGCGTCGAAGGGCTCGAACTCTCCGATTCGGAATATTCCGGCGACGATGAAGAAAGGGTGGCGGCGGAGGAGCAAGGAAAAGGAGGTGGTCGGAAACCCAACGCCGGCGTGAGGAACGCCGTCAATCTCTGCCTCCACCTCGGCGGAAACACGGGGAACGCGAAGTGGGTGGTCTCGGAGAAGCTGAGCTCGTATGGGCTTTGAAATTTCCAGCCGACGGTAACTTGTTTTGATTTTATTTTCCCTCTTCATGACTGCTGATTATTGGGGTTGAGTATTTGTTTCGCATCTCAAATTAAGAAGCATTTAGTACCAATTGGTTTGAGGTTAATATTGGAACTAAAGCTAATTAAAATTTTTTTATTGGGTAATTTTAATTCTGCTTTCCCATAACTATGATTGAGTTTTGGTTATGTTTTCTCAGTTATCACAATGAAAAGATTGGACACTATGCAATTCAATACATTCTTTAGACCGTCTCCAACCGAGACCCAAAACTCAAATTTTGCAGTATAATTTTCTCCACCCAAACTACAAACCGATCTGCAAAATGTGTACAGAGGTTTTCTCTCTCCTATCCAAACGCATATTTGCGTTGCAACGCAAAATTTGCGTTTGATCTTTTTATTATTGCATATAAGTCCTTCTATTCTATATTTATAATCTAGCACCCCTATTCTTATATATATACTGTATATTATATTTGGCAATTGTGTTTTGATAATTAAAATATAACATGAAATAGAGTAGTACTTTACTTAATTTTTATATTATATTTATTAACAATATATTTAAAAAATACTATAAGTTTCAAGAAAAAAAAAAGTATTAATATTACCAAATTAGTCATATTGAAAGATAACATAGAACTACATAA